AATAAACGACCCTAAATGTAATTAAGTCCTAAATGTAATAACATTTTGTCCTAAATGTAATAACAATTTGCCCTAAATGTAATAGCAGTAATTACTCGAATAAGTGCCACCCTCAAATAAGTGCCGCATTTGGGGGCGGAGTTAATTAGCGGCGCGGCGCTTACTCGTGTAAATACGGTACTAAGCGGTATTACTATGGTATTAAGCACCGCTCTCAAATAAGCGCCGCATTTTTGGAAAAAAAGGTTAATAAGCGACGCGGTGCTAATTCGCCTAAATTTGGTACATTTCCTCAGTATGCACTGTGAAACTTAACGTTTACGAATAAATTGCTTGTAAACGAGAAAGTAACAGTATTTTTCTAAAACTGAGCAATATTTAAGAAACTGGAAGACTTTTTTCCTGTATACAAACACTCGAGGGGTTGGGAGAATTCAAGACAGTGATGCAGACCCTCGACTTCGTCTCGGGTCTGCATCACTGTCAAGAATTCTCCCAACCCCTCGAGTGTTTATATCAGGCTATGCAAACACAAGAAAAAAGTTTTCTATTGCTTTTATAAAACAACTTTCCCCCAAAAAAGAAAACTCATTGTTTAGGTTACTTATCAAAAGAGAAATTCTTACCAGTCGCGAAGTCTTGTACATGAAGCTTAATGTACGTGTAAGCAGTTCTTGTTTTGCAACAAAGATGCTTTCCAAAAAAGGGTTTTTCTCGCTTAAAATGCCAGCTTAAGCGAAAAATATTGGCACAGCATGTTTGTAAAGATTTTCCAAGTTTCATCCGACAAGGGAATGGGTAAATAAAGTAAAGTTGTCGAGTTTTCAACTGAAAAACATTTTAATATTCGTGCTTGTGTGATTAGCGCGCGAAGAGCAAAACATCTTGACTCCACACATGTTTATATTTTCTCATGCAAACACATCTCTCAGCTAATCAGAGCGCACGCGTACTATCTTAGTTATTATAAACGTTGTTATCATCTGTGCAGTACTAAGGTGTACATGGAGGTGGCAAGCGTGATCAAATTAAAATGAGAGATTATGTGGACAGGCGGGTTACCCACCAAAGCGGGTTACCTCAACTGCCTGGGGTCCCCCACCTCAATGTAAACAGTCCCTTAGTTAATTAAACTTCTCGTTTTTTGTTCTTAATATTTTAGCTGATTAGGTCTCTTTTCTAGAGATCCAACGTTGACAAGCGACAGGATATTCGTTTTTGCAGTAAATTTCTTTAACACAAATGAAGTATGGAAAACTTTTTAAGGCTTTTTTTTATTTTGTCCCTTTTTACAAGCAATTTATTTGCAAACGTCAAGTTACTCAGTGCATAAGGAAATGTACCGAAGCTTATTAAATTTTTCTCCAAAAAGGCAGCCCTTAAAACCATAGTAATACCTCTTAGCATCGCATGTACGCGAATAAGCGCCGCGGCGCTTATTAACCCCGCCCCAAAATGCGGCGCTTATTTAAGTAATTACTGAAATTTGCAATTTAAGAGTTTATTACAATTAGGACAAAACGTTATTACATTTAGGATCTTTTTTACATTTAGGCCTTCTACAGACGAGTAGGCAAAAGTGTGAGAAATTACGGTGTTTGTATGATAATCTAATGCTGAATAATTTCCGTAAAACGTCTGTTCTGAAAAAAAAATATGACTTGTAAACTAAAGCTACGAAACAAAGGATTGTTCTAAAAAATTTGGGGGTCGAACGTGGCTAAAATTTCCCCAGAGGCTTGCTTTAGATTCTCCATACATTTGTCTGTAATTTTTCCCGAGACTTTCTTACAGACAAATGTATGGAAGATTTTAAGAAGTGGTTCTAGGTCTTCTAGCGCATGTAACGAACCCACTTTTTTTTTTTTCAGTAGAATCCTTAGGAGTGAAGCTTTAGTTTACAATTCATATTTTTTTCAGAACAGCCGTTTCTTGGGGCATCTAACCTGAGATCAGGCTCAATTTTCGTTCCGCTTTGTAAATAACATTCCGGCGGGCAAGGCGAAACGAAAAGAGTTAGCGGCAGCCGTCAGAGAGAATGTCTGAGAATTGGGCCTGATCTCAGGTTATGATGGATCGGGATCGAGATAACTGACTAATATCTTAAGTTGGACCGGTTTCAAACTTTGCGCAGCAACTTCTAACAACACGCAACAACATGCAACAGAGTCTGTAAACGGACGCAACATGTAATATCCAACAATGTTGCGTCCGTTTGCGCGTAGCATTATGAGTCATTAGAGGCCTAATGCTCAGGTCCCATGAAAGTTTATCTTACTCTGATTAATCCCGAAGGCGATCGAAATGTTTGTACCGAAAAGTTTGGAGGAGACCTTGTCCTTATTCCACTCCACCGCCCTCTCTCTCTCTGTCTCTCTTTTTAGATTGTCGACTGCGTATTTTCTACTTGTTCTCGCTCTGCTATTTTCAAACGGTAAATTCGCAAAAAGTGTGAATTAAAAACATGGAGAGTAAAGTTTATGAATCATTTTCTAACCTTTTCAATTTTCCTGACACAGCCCTAAAACTTGGCGCGTACTATTTTCAATCAATCCTCGCTAACGTAGCAATTACTCAATTTTAGGTACAAGATACGAAATTTTCTTAAAAATTCGAAAAAACCAGCGGTTCGAAAGGTCCTCGAAAAAAGGAAAATTGCTTCTAAAGACCGCTGGAATTAGTAATATTTTCATTTTTACCAGACCATTAATTTACGAATCTTTCCTGTTGTAAGCTACATCTTCAACAAGACTTGAAACATGAAGATTTTTTGAAAGTGCCCCCAATAGTTTTGGGGGGGGGGGGGGGGGATTTTCCAAGCACTGTTGTTTGCAACTCGCTTCGCATAATGGTTTACGTTCATTTCACCTGTCAAGAGCTGTTTTTTTTGTATATTTTAAGCATTTACCGGCTAAACTTTCCTTCGCAGCAAATACCCATTTGAGTCGCAAATACCCATTTTCCCTTTTTAGAGGAAAACGTACTTCTTATTGCGAAAAACATATTTCAGACAAAACATCGATCACCAACTATATTCCCCATACCTGTATTTCCTTTTGTTTATCTCATACGTTTATTACACTTGTTGTCATTGACACTTTAATTTTTTATTATTCATTTTTATTTTATGAGCATGGATTAGTCGTACTGAGACAGTGGGGGTTATAGCGGATATAGCCGTGCAAAATTTTATTCTTGAGCAAATGGCGTTTTTTTCTGCCAGCATGCGTCATTCTGAAGCGAACTCATTTCAGCTGTCATTTGCAGTGCCAGCACTAAACAGGCTGTCAGATAAAAAAGAAATTTCACTTTTTAGTATACAATTTGCTCCATGACTAAAATCACAAGAGTTTTACATTTTATTTGTTAATATAAAACATCGTTTTCGGTCGTCTGACAAATCCGACCAAAACTGCCCAAGCCTTGTGTTTCCTTAATGACGCGCTCACAACTGGTAACACATGACAGCAGAAAGAATGAACACTGTGCTGTAGAAAGAAAACCTAAGACACTATCCAAAAACTTAAAAACTAATTATTATCATTGCTTCTGTTATACACATTTTTTGCACGGGAATGGACGGAGGCAGAGGCTACTTTTTACACGCGTGTACGTATCGCTAAAGAGTAACCTTGCCGACAGCGCGCGTTGTCTCGCAGTCAGCAACTTGAGAGAGAGGCAAAGGATGCAAAAAGAAAGCTTTTTGACATCTTCAGGGACAACATGGGCGCCGTGTAAAAAAAAACAATAGATGACTGTTAATTAGATACAAGAGAACTTCTTTCAAAACTTAATTGATAGTTAATAATTATAGGAATAAAATTAAACTGATAAGACTAACGAAATGTTCACTAGTTTTTCTCTTGTTCATTATTATACTTACTGTCACTTTTATTTCGCGTAAAAGAAAATAACACAAGTCTTAACGACGCGATCCGACGTATAAACCCTACTCTCACTGTGTATGAATATCTACAGCTATGTACGGCCAAGCACAGCTATGTGCGGGTGTGCAGGGCTACCTAGGGCTATGTACGGCTCTGTATGGCTATGCAGCACTATGTAGGGCTATGTACGGCTATTCGCGGCTATGCACGGCTATGCACGGCTTTGTACGGCTATGTACGGCCCTGTGTGGGTAAGTACGGAAATGTAGGGCTATCTACAGCTATGTACGGCTATGCACGGCTGTGTAAGGCTATGCACGGCCATGCGCGGCTATGCACGGCTATGTACGGCTATGTACTGCTATGCGAGGCTATGCTTGGACGGCAATTCACGGTTATGCACGGCTGTGGTGGGTTATTTAGCGCTATGCAGGTCTATGCACGGATGTGTAGGGCTATGCGTTGGTATGCACGGCTATGCGCTGCTATGCACGGCTATCCACAACTATGTATGGCTATACGCGGCTATGTACGTCTATGTGCAGCTATGCACGGCTATGTACGGCAATGGGCGGTCATCAACGGCTATGTACTGCTATGCGAGGCTATGCACAGCTGTGTAAGGCCGTGCGCGGCTATGCATGACTATCCACAGCTATGTATGGCTCTGCACGGCTATAGACGGCTATGGACGGCTATAAACGGCTATGTACGGCTATGCTCGGTTATGTACGGCTATGTACTGCTATGCGCGGCTATCCACAGCTATGTATGGCTGTGCGCAGCTATGTACCGCTTTGGACGGCTATACACGGCTATGTACGGCTATGTGCGGCTATGCACGGATATGTACGGCTATGTACGGCCATGCATGGCTATGCACAGCATGATACGGCTGTGTAAGGCTATGTAGATTTTATGTATGGCTATATACGGCTGTTCACGGTTATGCACGGTTTTGTTCGGCTATGTTGGGCTATGCACGGTTATGTACGGCTTTGTACTGCCATGCATGGCTCTTCAAGGCATAGTAAGGTTGTTTAATTCTATGTAGGGCTATGTAGAGCTTATGCACGGCCATGCGCGGCTATGCACGGCTATCCACAGCTATGTATGGCTGTGCGCGGCTATGTACGGCTGTGGACGGCTATTTGCGGCTATGTACGTCTATGTGCATCTATGCACGGCTATGTACGGCAATGTGCGGTCATGTACGGCTATGTACTGCTATGCGAGGCTAAGCACGGCTGTGTAAGGCCATGCGCGGCTATGCACGGCTATCAACAGCTATGTATGGCTGTGCACGGCTATGAACGGCTATACGCGGCTATGTACGGCTATGCTCGGTTATGTACAGCTATGTACTGCTATGCACGGCTATCCACAGCTATGTATGGCTGTGCGCAACTATGTACGGCTATGGACGGCTACACGCGGCTATGTGCGGCTATGCACGGCTATGTACGGCTATGCGCGGTTATGTACGGCTATGCGCGGTTATGTACAGCTATGTATGGCAGTGCGCGGCTATGTACGGATATGCGCGGCTATTCACAGCTACATATGGCTGTGCGCGGCTATGTACGGCTATGGACGGCTATGCACAGCTATGTACGGCTATGTACGGAGATGCGCGGCTATGTACGGCTATGTACGGCCATGCATGGCTATGCACGGCATGGTTCGGCTGTGTAAGGCTATGTAGATTTTATGTATGGCTATATACGGCTGTTCACGGTTATGCACGGTTTTGTTCGGCTATGTTGGGCTATGCATGGTTATGTACGGCTCTGTACGGCCATGCATGGCTCTGCAAGGCATGGTACGGTTGTTTAATTCTATGTAGGGCTATGTAGAGCTTATGCACGGCCATGCGCGGCTATGCACGGCTATCCACAGCTATGTATGGCTATGCGCGGCTATGTACGGCTATGGACGGCTATCTGCGGCTATGTACGTCTATGTGCAGCTATGCACGGCTATGTACGGCAATGCGCGGTCATGTACGGCTATGTACTGCTATGCGAGGCTATGCACGGCTGTGTAGGGCCATGCGCGGCTATGCACGGCTATCCACAGCTATGTATGGCTGTGCACGGCTATGGACGGCTATACGCGGCTATGTACGGCTATGCTCGGTTATGTACGGCTATGTACTGCTATGCACGGCTATCCACAGCTATGTATGGCTGTGCGCAGCTATGTACGGCTATGGACGGCTAGACGGGGCTATGTACGGCTATGTGCGGCTATGTACGGCTATGCGCGGTTATGTACGGCTATGCGCGGTTATGTACAGCTATGTATGGCAGTGCGCGGTTATGTACGGATATGCGCGGCTATCCACAGCTACATATGGCTGTGCGCGGCTATGTACGGCTATGGACGGCTATGCACAGCTATGTACGGCTATGTATGGCGATGCGCGGCTATGTACGGTTATGTACGGCCATGCATGGCTATGTACGGCATGGTACGGCTGTGTAAGGCTATGTAGATTTTATGTACGGCTTAATACGGCTGTTCACGGCTATGCGCGGTTTTGTTCGGCTATGTTGGGCTATGGACGGTTATGTACAGCTATGTACGGCCGTGCATGGCTCTGCAAGGCATGGTACGGTTGTTTAATTCTATGTAGGGCTATGTAGAGCTTATAGTACGGCCAAGCGTGGCTATGAACGGCTATGTACGGCGATATGCGGCTCTGCACGGCTATGCACGGTTATGTAGGGCTATGTAGGGCTTATGTACGGCTATGCATGGCTATAAACGGCCATGCATGGCTATGGAAGGCTATGTGCAGCCATACATGGCTCTGCAGGGCATGGTACAGCCTTGTAAGGATATGTGGAGCTGATGTAGGGCTATGCGCGGCTATGCACGACTATGTCGCGTTATGCACGGCTATGTACGGCTATTCACCAGGGCCACCCAACGAGAATATAGTTAAAAAACACTTAAACATAGCACTGTTAAACGTATTTTAGTATGTAAACGGTAGATATACGCATATTTTATCCCCTAAAAATTTTTCATCTGTTCGGATTTCTTAGCTGAAAGTCTAGTGATCCGAAAATCTTAGGGTTAAAACTTACCTTTTCGAAACTTTCAGCCACATAAAAGGCTCCCGAAAATTGTAGGTGACCTTTTTAGGGTAAAAATCCGTTAAAAATTGGCAATTATACCAGTTTTTAAGAAAAGAAAGAAATTTTACAACAAATGTTCTAGATCTCAAATCGTTTTCCGAACAGATATTTTCCTAACATTGACGTAGGGTGCCCCTGATGCACGGGCTATGCAGGGCTATGTAAGTATAGGTAAGGCTATGTAGGGCTTATGGACAGCACGTACGGCTATGTACGGCCATACATGGTTATGCACGCTATGGTACGACTGTGTAAGGCTAGGTAGAGCTTATGTACGGTTATGAACGGCTATGAACGGCATGGTACGGCTATGCAGGGCTCTGCAGGGCTACTTACGGCTATGGAAGGCTATGTAGGGCTTATGTACGGCTATGCACTGCTATGTAAAGCCATGAATGGTTATGCACGGCTATGTATGGCCATGCCTGGCTATGCACGGCATGGTACGGCTGTGTAACGCGATGTAGAGCTTATGTAAGGCCATGCACGGCTATTCACGGCTATGCACGGTTTTGTTCAGCCATGCATAGCTATGCACGGCATGGTACGGTTATTTAAGGCTATGCAAGGCTATGTAGAGCTTATGTACGGCTAAGCGTCGATACGAACGGCTGTGTACGGCGATGTACTGCTCTGCACGGCTATGCAAGGTTATGTACGGCTATGTACGGCCATGCGTGGCTATATACGGCCATACATGGCTATGCAGGGCATGGTACGGCCTTGTAAGGCTATGTTGAGCTTATGTAAGGCTATGCACGGCTATGTAGCGTTGTTCACGACTATGTACGGCTATGCAGGGCTATGTGCGACTAAGGCTATGTAGAGCTTATGTACAGCTACGTACGGCTATGTACGGCTATGTACGTCCATGCATGGCTATGCACGGCATGGTACGGTTTTTTAAGGCTATGTAGAGCTTATGTACGGCTAAGCGTGGCTATGAACGGCTGTGTAGGACGATGTACCGCTCTGTACGGCTATGCACGGTTATGTACGGCTTTGTAGGGCTTAGGTACGCCTATGCGCGGCTATATATTGCTATGTAGGGCTATGCAGGTTTACTTAGAGCTATTTAACAATTATTCCTCGAGCCCGAATGGGCTCTGCGTCAATATGCCATGAGGCCGAAGGCCGAATTAGCTATTGACTCAGAGGCCATGAGGGGAGATGAATAATTGTCTTAGTAAAATCCAACTAGTTGGTAAAAAATATCGAGTCAAAACAACTTTAGCTAGCTAAAGCTACACTTTAATCGTTTTTTGCCCACCAAATTGCCGGCGCTTTTTGCTACTAGTGGGCTATAACATATAGCCTAGTAGTAGCTCAACCAATCAGAGCGCAGCATTGATAATAGACCACTACTTGGATTTTACTAAGTAAGGATATTAGGCGATGAAGGGCAATGTACATGTGGGGCTATGTACGGTCATTATTGCTATGTAGAGCTAAGAAGGGGCATATAGGGCTATGAAGTGCTATGTACGGCTATGCAGAGCTATGTAGAGCTTAAATATAGAGCTTTGTAGTTCTATGTAGTGTAGAGCTGGCAACAAATACATTGCATATTAAATAATGTGAAATCACTTATATGATGGGTACACCACGCACCAACCACGGGGTGTGGTGGTTCTTCGGCTCACGGGTCAGATATTCAGTTGTTTATTATTAGACTAATCGTGTTTGGTATCTGTTGGTATAAACCTTTTTTTAGATTTGGTGGCTTCTAAAGAAGCCATTGTTTTCCCTTTTAAGTATAACTTAGATTTAAAAAGTTTATTTATTTCTCTTTAAGTTCTGCTCTAACTATATATTATCTTGAACGGGTTGCCTCTTTAAAACAGCTTTCATAAATAATTTCATCAAGCGTTGTTTCAATACAAACCAGAAATCTCCATGCTGAACCATGTTTTGGCCCTACTTAGCCTTTAATTATCTATGTACTTTAAAAATTGTTTGCAACGGTAGCTATTAATATGAAGTCGTGTAGTAGTACGAAAGTTATTATTATTATTGCTTATTGTTGGCAGCACATACATGTATCCACTTGTAAGTTTGATAATGTGCTACGGAATCGAACATCCATAATTATGGTAACAAATGCCCCTTGTCAAGCGCTACGAGTATTTGCTACGGTAGCAAGTACTCAATATGGGTAGCAAATACCCACTTTACGATTTAATGAGTATTTGCTACGGTAGCAAATACCCATAACGGGTAGCAAAAACCCACTCGAAATTTCAGTGAGTATTTGCTACGGTAGCAAATACCCATTTTGGGTAGCAAAAACCCCACTCGAAATTTCAATGGGTATTTGCTACGGTAGCAAATACCCATCGATCGTAGTAAATACGCACATGAATCTGCCTCTCTCAGAATAACCTAGAGTAACGCAAGTACGCGCACTACCTAGCAATACTGTATATTATGCCAAATTTAGAGTCAACGTTTATTTTCCAAAAAGATCTCCGAAATTGGAGTGGAATAGTTTTGTATGTTTCACTGTCCATAAAGAATATTGTAGCAACAGCAGAAGGGGAAAAACAGATCAAGACGTAAGCTTAAGTTGTCACTTTTTGTTGAAGCTATTTTGTCCTTTGTTCCCAAGGAGGCACTCTAGTAACTCGCGCGTATATTAAGGAAAGTACTTACAGTTGAGATATACAGTCATTGCCCCCGCAGGGATTACGCCCAGAAGGCGAAATCCCGAGGAGGCACTCTAGTAACTCGCGCGTACATTAAGGAAAGTACTTACAGTTGAAATATACAGTCATACAGTCAATATGGAAAAAATCTCGATTTGCTTGAACAGGGGCCCTGAGGAATCGGTAGGTAATGATGACGTTTCTATTGTTTGCGCCCGCAAGTAAGAAATGGTTAGGATGACGTAAAGACAGAACGTCCCCAAGGGACCGCCTAGGTAGATTTTGCGACATTTAATGATTTATTGTGCAGTCAAACTTCGACACTCTTTTGCATTAAGTGTTATTAGTGACATTCTGTGGAGCATTTGCTTCAGTGGAAGTTATGGACCAAAATTTTAACGACATTTCACTTAGCTTTCGATTACGGGACTGTGGGACTGCGGGAGCACTAGTTACACATCCCCTGAATTCCACTTAGATTTCGACTGCGGGACTGTGGGTTTGCGGAAGCACTAGTATCATATCCCCTGAATTTCACTTAGCCTTCGACTGCGGGACTGTGGGACCGTGGGAGCACTAGTTATACATCCCCTGAATTCCACTTAGTCTTCGACTGCGGGACTGCGGGATCCACAGATTTATGCCGTGAAAAAAATGGCCGGGTATTCTAGAATCGCTCCTAACAGTGTATATATATACACTTGGAGAGTTTGCCAGACACGAGTTCAAAAATCTTTCATTGAAAACCTTGCCAGACACTTCTTCTCTCTCTTTGACCGGAGTAAGACTCAGCCCCAAACAAGCAAGACCAGTAAACAACGGCTAGCTTCTCACTAGCAGAACGATGGATGATTACAGAAATTCGCCGACAATCAAATTCTGTGCTGACTTATTCCCTTCTCACAGATGTCCTTCTAGTATAAAGTTTAAAATAAGACTAGAATGCGCAAGTGTGAATTGATAAAACGTCCTTTTAATTTCTAAGGCTTCCTTTCTGGTAAATAAAATGAACTGAATGTAAAAAGTGAAAGAGAAATAGCGAGAAATTCAACTTCTACAGTAATTAAATCTTTCCCCGTCTTATGGTTTAGAATAAACTATTCTCGAAACTGAGAATGTTTTGATCAAAGCTGTGTAAATCGACCTAAAACTGTGCATGGAACCTTGGGTTTCCTGTATTTATCTCACCTATAGTATGGAATATGTGTGAAAATCTTCCTTATAAATCTGTATATTTCAAAGAGCTACATAACGAGCAAGAATGCTATTGATCGACAATATATGAGCGGGGGCAGCTGTAGTGTCAACTATTTCTAGTACAGTCAGAGTTTAATTTCGTCTGCGCGCAGGCTAGAACAGGGGCCGCGAGGAATCGGTAGGTAATGATGACGTTTCTATTGTTTGCGGCCGCAAGTACGAAATGGTTAGGATGACGTAAACAGGGGCTAGCCAGGATTTTTCAAAGGGGGGGGGGGGGGGGGGCTATCGGGGGGA